ACAACTCTCATCCTATAAAATATACATAGTCTTCGACAGCATCAAGAGCCAAGCAGAATAGCTGCTCCCCGTTCATACGGTTGTGTTAGACTAAAAAGAGTAGAGTTCATAAATGCGAAACTAAGTCCCACTCCCCCCCTCCAAGACCGCTTCGCACAAATTCGGGTGCCACATAAATGGGCTTGAAAATTTGTAAAGGATCCGACCGTAAACAGCTAAGCTCTTACAGGGTATCTCTGAGTCAAGCATTCCTGACAGCACTTTTACTTGTTCTCTATACTGTCGGGTTACAAAGGTTTACTGACTTATTATATCAGACCACCAATGCTTATCGGCACCTAGCTGGCTGGCTATAGCAGTACTTCCGAAACATTTCGAGAGGGACCTATTAAATTCCAGATAATGATAAAGTTTTCTGTTCGAATAAGTGAAAGTGCTGTGGTGGAGAATGCTCGACTACAAGATATCCCGCAGCCATCTCCGAAAGATTAAATGTTTAGCTTCTTTATTTATCGGATCGTTATGAAAGTTTTAGGATGGTATTTAAGATGTAAACAAAGATCCACAATGCAAAAAATTAAAATCGAACTTACTTAATCGGTTTATATACAAGGAGATGGGCTGAAACCAAACAATGTATTATAAAGGAGTAAGTTAAATATTATGGGAATATCATTATATATATCCTACGGGAGATTATTGATCTTCTGTTATCAAAATTTTTTAAAACAAACCTCGCACACAATCGCCAGGATCACGCATTTTGCTCAGAAAGAGGGGAGGTCGTCCATCGTAGGTCTGATCGTTTAATATTTCGCGCACACCTTCTCCGTTGTGCACCACGGCCACAGGAAAACAGCCGACAAATAGACCAATAATGTCCGATTTGTACCACTTGCTAAGTATTAAAGCAGCCTTGTGTAGATATTTGTAATCGATCAGAAGCATAAAAAGATAGCTTCCAAAAATGGGCAGTCGCGGTGGACCTGCAAGGATAAATGCCAGTTAATCACACGCGAATTTCGGGTGAACCGCTTTTGCAAACCGGGCGGAAAGCCTGCAGGACGACCGACTGCATATTTATAAGACAGATATAGAAATATGATCGAGCACAATGCCAGCAAGAGAGCAGTTAACATTTTGCACGCGCTCCGATTTAAGTTCAGGGCAATACTGATCTATTCGAATCAGCGACACAGCTATATAATAACAATTGCCTGATAATGTTATATATTGGATTTGTTTTAAACTTAGAAATCGCAGACATTTTTGCAATTATGATTACGATTGCGATTTCACAATCTGTATATATGTCGAACTTCAGAACTGTGGTCCGATATTATATGCATACAAAGAAATATGCATATATACATTCATGTATGCATACCAGAATACATCAAAGCATACATACATACATTCATACATATAAGACTGCATATTAACATACTTGCATGCATAAACACATACGCGCATGCACATATGTGCGTGCATAAAACATGCAAGCATAAATACATGCATGCATACAAATATTTACACATGATACATAAATTCATTAATAAGTACATGCATATAAATACATCCATCCATTGATGCATACATAAGAATATTACTACATGCATGCAGGCATATGTACATTCATATATACCAGAAAGGAAGTAAGCTTTATCAGTCTTTGGTAAAAGTGAAAATATATAACAGACAACCTGGCGTTGCCCGGCCCAAGCTGATATCTTCGCAGTTGAAAATTCTCGTCCGTGAAATTATTTAAATTAAGATAATAAGAGATAAATCACCAGATGAAACAGATAATTGACAGAAAAACAAGAAACTCATCAACTCTGTGGGAGAGATAGACACAACTCGTAACATGTTTCAAGTCAAATATATTTTAAATGCAAGAACCTAACGCTCTTTTAGCTGCACCCAAAAATCTGGAGGCGTTATAATTAAGCCACTGTTATTCTTGGTTAGATCTGGTAGTGTATCGCCGGGCGCCAGGGTATAGTCGAAGTTCTGCAGCATGGCTGTGGTCATCAGGAAGAGCATGTTCCGTGCAAAGGTCTCGCCGGCACACAGACGCTTGCCGGCGCCAAAGGGCAGGGATACGTCCAGCTTGAGGCACAATTGACCCTGATTGTCCAGAAAGCGTTCGGGCCGAAACTTTTCGGGATCCGACCAAATGCGTTTGTCCATGTGATAGGCATACAGGCTGGGTATGATAACAGTGCCCTGTGAAAAGATAAAAGAGAAGTTCGATAGCTAACGCAATTTCGTGAGATCATCTTATTAACGCACCTTAGGTATGCGATAGCCCATCAGTTCGGTATCGTTAAGTGCTTTGTGTGGCACATTCGATGGCACCAATGTCTCAATGCGCAGATTTTCACGTATGGTCGCCTCCGTATATGGCATATTCTTGCGATCCTCCAACGTGGGCAAACGTCCGCTGCCCACCACCTCATCGATCTCGCGTTGTACGCGTTTCGCGACCTCGGGATAGAGCATCATGTACTGGACAATCAGTGACAATTGGGAACCAATTGCCGTGAAGGCGGGAAATGAGAAGTCGACGAGGCCCATGATGAATTGCTCCCGATTAAAGCCATATTCTTCGGGCAGGCCCTTTTTCATCTCGGCTATATAGAGATCCAGAAAGTTGCGCTCGCTGCAGTCATCATAGCTATCAATGTGACGATCCACAAATTCCGAAAAGTAGGCACGTACATATAAATTTGCCTCATTCAACTTGTTATAGCCGCTCGCCTCCGGCCAGATGTATCGTATCCAGGGTATTATGCTCAACAATCTGCCGTAGTCGTCCGCATTGCGCTGGAACTGTAAGCCCAACTGAACAAGCTTCACTAACTTGGCCATTTCAGACCGGGCCAGGCGCTCGTTGTACAAAATGTGAAAGTGACTATTGGCCGAGAAGGGATTAAAGAGCAATGGCAATTGCACCCGATAACCGCCCGGCTTTACCAGATGATGCTCGTGCTCATAGCGCGGACCGTTGCGAATCATGTCCAGCATATCGGTTATTTCCTCCTTAATGATTAGCTCCAACTGATCGAAACGACGACCGAAACCGAAGTCGCGCAGATAACGTAAGATAAAGCGTCGCTGTTCTTTCCAGAGTATTCCTTCCTGAAAGAATATGCCTAGAAATAACATATGAACGATTATTAAATATATATACGATTATAATCAAACTAGTGCAATCTTCTGTTTTTATTTTGACCCTGAACCCGTATAATGTGCAAGTGTACGTAACAGGCAAACGTAAACAACTCTCATCCTATAAAATATACATAGTCTTCGACAGCATCAAGAGCCAAGCAGAATAGCTGCTCCCCGTTCATACGGTTGTGTTAGACTAAAAAGAGTAGAGTTCATAAATGCGAAACTAAGTCCCACTCCCCCCCTCCAAGACCGCTTCGCACAAATTCGGGTGCCACATAAATGGGCTTGAAAATTTGTAAAGGATCCGACCGTAAACAGCTAAGCTCTTACAGGGTATCTCTGAGTCAAGCATTCCTGACAGCACTTTTACTTGTTCTCTATACTGTCGGGTTACAAAGGTTTACTGACTTATTATATCAGACCACCAATGCTTATCGGCACCTAGCTGGCTGGCTATAGCAGTACTTCCGAAACATTTCGAGAGGGACCTATTAAATTCCAGATAATGATAAAGTTTTCTGTTCGAATAAGTGAAAGTGCTGTGGTGGAGAATGCTCGACTACAAGATATCCCGCAGCCATCTCCGAAAGATTAAATGTTTAGCTTCTTTATTTATCGGATCGTTATGAAAGTTTTAGGATGGTATTTAAGATGTAAACAAAGATCCACAATGCAAAAAATTAAAATCGAACTTACTTAATCGGTTTATATACAAGGAGATGGGCTGAAACCAAACAATGTATTATAAAGGAGTAAGTTAAATATTATGGGAATATCATTATATATATCCTACGGGAGATTATTGATCTTCTGTTATCAAAATTTTTTAAAACAAACCTCGCACACAATCGCCAGGATCACGCATTTTGCTCAGAAAGAGGGGAGGTCGTCCATCGTAGGTCTGATCGTTTAATATTTCGCGCACACCTTCTCCGTTGTGCACCACGGCCACAGGAAAACAGCCGACAAATAGACCAATAATGTCCGATTTGTACCACTTGCTAAGTATTAAAGCAGCCTTGTGTAGATATTTGTAATCGATCAGAAGCATAAAAAGATAGCTTCCAAAAATGGGCAGTCGCGGTGGACCTGCAAGGATAAATGCCAGTTAATCACACGCGAATTTCGGGTGAACCGCTTTTGCAAACCGGGCGGAAAGCCTGCAGGACGACCGACTGCATATTTATAAGACAGATATAGAAATATGATCGAGCACAATGCCAGCAAGAGAGCAGTTAACATTTTGCACGCGCTCCGATTTAAGTTCAGGGCAATACTGATCTATTCGAATCAGCGACACAGCTATATAATAACAATTGCCTGATAATGTTATATATTGGATTTGTTTTAAACTTAGAAATCGCAGACATTTTTGCAATTATGATTACGATTGCGATTTCACAATCTGTATATATGTCGAACTTCAGAACTGTGGTCCGATATTATATGATTAGAGAAACTCAAAAACCAAACGGAAATAGGCAATCGTTTAAAAAAGTTTAACTTTTTGTTTTGAAAAAAAAATAAATAGTTTCTAGACAAGCAGTTAAAAATCAATTAGTTAAACCAACAATTAATCGAAAGTAAAAATCTATTTTTCAATCAGATTGAGGCAATTCAATAAAATTAATTAAACTAAATAATAGGTTGCTTTTGTTTACTACAAAGTGCACGAGACACATTTGTCAGTTGTGATTGATAGATAATAATCTGAGGCGGGCTTAAAACTGGCCAAATCGGCTGGAAAACGTTAACACGTTCAATACTAATCAAATAAAGAGTTTTTCTAATTGAACTAGGAATGAAGAATGGCAGTAACATTAAAACATATATGAATCGCACGCTTTTCAATATAATATACACAGATTATTAATTGACACAATAAGAATAAATAAATATAGGTTTTGTCGATTACATTGCTATTGGTTGCATTTCTGCCATAAATAAATCATTTTTCAGACGGCGTCGACCTAAGATCAATCTCAATTTTAGTCATTATGTTGTTGGCGTTTCCTTTCCTTTATCACGATCGTGTCCATCAAAAGCAAAGGGTATCCAAAGGGAACCAGGCATGATGCATGACGTACTGATAGCCTTGTATATTTCGCAGTCACATTAAAACATATATTATATGAAACACGCGCTCTTAAAGATAATGCAAATAAACAGATAATAAATTGAAACGACTTAAAATAATGCATGTTTTTCGATTAAACTTGTTTTGCTTGCATTTGCGCCACAAATCAATCATTTTTGGGATGGCGGCGATGTAAGATCAATCTCAATTACAGATGTCATTGAGACGTTGGCGTTTTCCTTTCCGCTTGGAGCTGGCATTGAAGAATTGCCTACAGACGACAGTTGGCGCCACTTGTTGATATTGCGACTTGATCGATTCACTTGCGTCCATAGAGCTGCCAAGCCCTGGCGATCGTGTGCATTAAAATCAAAGGGTATCCACTGGCCATTATCGGGTGAAACTGCGACACCTTTCACACGTTCGGGCAAAGCCTTTCGGTTGATGTACGTATTGGCGGCTTCACTCAGAATGTGTGCGCTGGAGAAGATAATACATATATATAAATATATGCATATTTCCTAGTACTCACCAGGCAATAAGCTTGTCCCGCTCTTGTTTCTTTTTGCCCAGCTGCGCCTGCATTTCAGCACAATGCTGCTCCTCCTCTGCCAGTTTGTCGCGCACAGCATTTTTTAGAGCGTTGCGTTTCTCGACTTCATCGCGTCGTTGGTTTAATAGTGTATTTAATTTTTTCGATTCATGTTGCTGTCGTTTAATATTTTCCATGGTTGTTGCTGTGTATGAAAAAATCAGAATATTTTTAGTTTATATTTAAACTCTTAAAAGCAGGCATTCATACCAAATTTGCTGTGAAATTTGGCGCTCTGTTTGGCTATGGCATTCTCCTCTTGCTCCAACCGCATCTCATTTGCTAACATTGCCATAAGGCGCTTGCGAGTGTTGAATTGGTTAGACATGTCGTCTTAATTAGCTGTTTAAATTAAAAGTTAAATTCGAGCGCTTGGCTAAATTTCCAGTGCTCTAATATTAATGACGCTTCCATCAGAACAAGAGTTGCCAGACTGTTGTTTGTTTCGAATCAGAGATGAGCGTTATTGACCTTTCTGTTACCTGCTCTAAATTGGAAATTGTTAATAATTATGCCCAAGAATGCTTTGCACCTTTTAAATTAATTTATGTTTGGTGGTAATCACTCTATAAATTAATGATAACAGCATTCTTCTAACAGCATTTATATTGCCAGACTGTCTAAGGATTTTGTGCTTGCATGCCTCACATGTGGCAGCGTATCGCAACTATCGTATACAAGAGATATCGATAATTTTTTCTACCATAACTAGCGTGCTGATAGCCGGCAAAAATTGCAAGCAAAGCATCATCAAAATTTGCGAATTTTTGAGGAGAAGTGAAATTTGTTCGGTGCTGCAATTGAAATATTAATGCGTATACTGCACACCGCAAAGGCGTTACGCACTATATTCCATCGTAGCTATAGTAATAGCACGCCAATTAGAACGGTAAGTACATATGTATGCGTGGTTATGTTCATATGCCGGTGACGGGGGCGGAACGTAATTTTTTTTTTTTTTTTTTTTTGGCGAACAAAGGGAAACCGTTTGATTTTTGGATTCTAAAAATAGATAAGACATTTGCACAAAACGTCTTTGTTGCTGTCTAAACTCTTTGAATGCACAAATATATGCACACATACATTGTTGTTCGCCTTTGTTAAATTGGAGACGAAATCTGAAAAGATTTTCGAGCACCCGCTTAGATAGGCGCAGATCCACTTGTTGGTCTCCGTATTTTTCACACAAGGTCACGACGTTTGCGATGTCATTGCGCTATAGCATTGATGACGTCGCAAATGATGTGAACTGGACGCTTATCAGGCTGTGCCATATTCGGCAGCTGGCAAGTCGAAATTGTTATTATATTTTGTTTTATTGCCCCGCTCGCAATTGCAGACGCTGTTTTTATGCATTGATATTTTTTATTTATAGATTAGAACATGTTTTTTGTTATGACTAATAGAGTGCGTTGGGCTGTATTATAAATTCTGAGTGATTTTTTTATTCATATTGTTTTTTATGAAAAACGCGTTTTTGGCAAGACTATAAAATGACGACGACCGCATACCCTTAACAATTACATATCTACGCTTAAGAAAAACATGATCGTGATGAGGTCTTTAAGGTCTTATCAAAACCGTATAATAAAATTTGTCAGGAATAAAAATATATTTAAGAAAGAAACAAGAATTTTAATTTTATTGATTTTTTGAGTGTTTATTAAAGTATTCATTAATATTTATGAATTAGTAGCACTTGCAGTAAATAAAAATTGTTAAAATTGGAGGTAAGTAAGTTTTTTCCGTATGTAGTATGCTTTATTTTATGGAAGAACTATAAAAACCTGTGAAACTTATATAAACATGAATTGTGTCAATTCTTTATTGTGGCCTGTAAACCCCACAAACTGATTTTTTTCACTACGCCCATGGTAATGATTAGAACGGGAGTCAAATCAGCTATTTCAATCAAACTGTGTCATGTGCACATGTTTACAGTACAAAGTCGTTTGTTTGTGCCAATCTGGAGTATCATAAACAGTACTAAATCAAAGATTAACAGTGTTAAGGTGGTGGCGCGCTAAAATGCTGGTGAACTAAGCATTAATCCATTTCTACACTCGTTGCAGATGGCCACGGACATCAAGTTTAATGCGTCCCTTACACGCACGGATCCGCAGCAGCAGCCGGTGCTGATTATTGGCCAACTACGTCATCTGAACCTGCTCAAGTTCGGCCAGCTTGCCAGCAAATTGGAGCCGCGTGTCAGTGAGGAGACATTCAAGAATGCCATCGCTTGCCTGCATCCGGCGCCAACGGACAAGTGTTCGCTTTATCTGGATGTGGCCACAGTGGCTGCGTTGCCTTTGAAGGCGTCGCGACACAACACCGCCTCGCGGGCGCACTCCATAACGCGCCTGGTGAAGAACCATGTGCTCAATGTGAATGAGGAGAGTGTTGTGTTAGTTTGCGAGCGTGAGAACATCTTTGCCAGTGCCTGTGCTGTGGTTCGTGCCTTTCCACTTTACTCCCGCAAAACGGGCAACGGCAACGGTGCCAGGTCGCCTGCAATAGACGGTGGCGACGGGCAATCGTCGCGCTCTGTGGTCAACGTAGAGTTTGTTGTCATTGACAAAGATGGTTGCGTACAGGAGGAGCCTCTCAGCCAGGATGAGCTCAAGTGCCTGCACGAGACGGCACGTGGTATACGCCTCGCCGCACGCATTGTGGACACGCCCTGCAACGAAATGAATGTGGATCACTTTATTCAAAATGTCAACGAGTTTGCCAAAGAGCTTTCTCTGCAGCCGCAAGTCATTCGCGGCGAAGAGCTACAAGAGCGCGGCTTTGGCGGCATTTATGGCGTGGGCAAGGCGGCGGCTGTGCCGCCAGCTCTTGTCGTGCTCTCACATGAGCCCAAGGGTGCACAAGAAACTATTGCGCTGGTCGGCAAGGGCATTGTCTACGATACCGGCGGCCTGAGCATTAAGGGCAAAACGGCTATGCCGGGCATGAAACGGGATTGCGGTGGTGCAGCAGCTATTCTGGGTGCCTTCTATGCGGCCGTCAAGTGCGGTTTCAGGGATAACTTGCATGCCGTCTTTTGTTTGGCCGAAAACTCTGTGGGTCCAAATGCTACGCGGTAAGCGGGCGTGTTATCAATTATTGCCTTAACTAATCCTTTCATTGTATTATTCACGCAGACCCGACGATATACACACCTTGTACTCGGGTCGTACTGTGGAAATCAACAATACGGATGCTGAAGGTCGTTTAGTGCTCGCCGATGGCGTTTGTTTTGCCAATAAGGATCTTAAGGCAAACATTATTCTTGACATGGCCACGCTGACGGGCGCTCAAGTAAGTAAACTCATATTTTATAATATTAACTACAGCTGTAAATGCAACTCAGCTTGGGGTGAGATGATCTTCTTTCTATTTGTAATGACACGAATTTGTCTGCTAATCCTATAGCTTCTACGAACTTTTCTGTGAACATAAACCATATATGTTAAGTACGTGTCAGAATTATTAAATTTATAAGCCAAACAATGCAAATGGATAACAATCTTACTTACTCTACGTGTATAACGGAAAAATACAATGCAGTATTGAATTGTGCACCATAGTTTATTCTCATGGTAAATTTCTTGCAGCATTAAAATTGAGCACAGCAAGAATATTTCATAGATTCTGTTGAATTAACAATTATGTTATCCAGTCGGCATATAAATCTCTTCTAATTTTAACTCCATAATCTTGGGTATTTGCAAAGAAGTATTCATTATGCACCAAATTCTATCTCATGGTAACTTCCTATTGCATTAACGTTGAGCATGTTAAGAATACTTCGTAGATTCTTTAGAGTTACAATTTTTTTTTTACATGTATCTTAAGAATTTGCAATGAAGTATTGACTTAGGTTATCTTGCATAAAGTATTGACTTAGGTTATCCTGAACATGCTACTATCATGAACTTTGCCATGAACATTTAAAAGATATTTAATCGATTTTAAAAAATTATCAAATTTAGAAGCTAGACTGCATTTCTGTCTGCTGCAGTTTCTTGATACTAGCAGCTAACGTGTTTGCTTTATTCTAGACATATTTTATCCCATCATATCTCATCAAATTCTCTAGTCAGCTGTCGAATGTAGTTTTGCTTCGCGTTTCTTAGCGTGACGAACTTTATATAACCTCTTGGCCGTACTCTGCATTTTTCCTATGTTCGTAAATGGAAAATTTATGCCACGTTTTATAAAAGTCACGAGGTTAATTGGCAAAAATAAATTGCAAATTTGGTTTTTTTTCGGCGGCAACTTGAAGTAGCAGCAGGAGCAGCAGCGGAAGAAGCGAAAGAAGCAGCAGCAGCAGTTGCCGCCGCGTATGCACAACAGCAACAATGAAGGCAACGAGGCAAACCCGTTTTGCGGTTATTGCTGGCGTTTGGTGGTGGGGTTGTTGGTAGGTCGCGGGGCGTGGCGGGTGGTGCGATTGCTGCGAATGCATCAGCAGGAGGTGGGGCCATTGGCTGACTGGGATGGCGCACAATTACCATAAATCTTGGATGCAATTTGCTTAAAATATGATGCCAATTTGCGTTATTTGTGGTTCGATGGGAAATAAATCGAAACTGGTCAGGGATAGCGAACAGGACAAGGCACGAAATGGCTAAGGATTCCTCCTGTCGTGTCCTGCAATAAGAAAACAAAAAAACTACGACTCAAACTCGTTGCGATTGCAAGTAAAATTGTTAAGCAAAACTAGTCGACACTCGTGTCTTTTTTTTTTTTTAGCTTTTCATGCAGTTTCTGTAAAATTGTTTAGAATTTGTTTTGACGCTTGTTGTGTTTAATTTCATTACACACGGTCACACATACACTCCGACAGACACACACATACACACAGACATTCAACTGGCCCAACACTTTTGCAACATGCAATAATATTAATTGCCAACATTGGTGCAACTGCGAATGCAGCAACAACAATAAGGAACAAAAGCAATAAAGTACGAAATAAAACTAAACTCGCCTAAAATATACCCTTTATTTAGTATATGTTCTTTTTATTTTTCTACACCAACTCTTTTTTTTATGCTAAGCAAAAGAATATACTCATCTCTGCCAATATCGCCTTTTTATCGCCTGCTCTCCTCCTTTCTGTAGTCTGGAGGATAGCTTGAAGGATTTTTTTTGACTACGGTATTAAACTTTTAACAAGCGCAACCTAAAACAGGATACAATTTTAATACAGTTTTCTCATATTATCTTCCTGGCGATATTCCTATTCTTATTCTTAATGATTTTTTATTCGATTCAATTTGAAGGCAGGATATTAAGCGTAAAGCTTAAATTGCCTTTAAAATGTGCTATATAAAAAAAAAAACTCACATCACTTTTAACTTACGCGAAGAAGCCCTCTCCTACAATTATATAGGGTATGTTGAAACAAGCAACAAACAGCAGCCAACACTTTTGGTCTTT